GGGTTATGTGCACTCGCTGAATACAACATCCTGCTGAATATATATATATATATATATATATATATATATATACATGCATGCATACATACATATATAAGTCTGAATACCTACTTTACAGACTAGTATGTACGTGTGATGACATACATAGGCATCATTGAGTATCTGATGCACTACGTCACTTGCATGTACCAATAAACACTTGTGTGCACGTCTGCCTACAACAAGACAAAGTTCGGCACATAAATCCACTAAAAAAAATTACATACGGTCTATATACATACAGCAAGCATATATAACTCACATATCGTCATATAAATCTAGATATATAACATATACGTATGTATACATACATATAGGTGTATATAACATATACATACAGGTATATATAACATACACTTGTGCACGGCGTCTGCTAGCCTCCTCGGCATCGCGCTTGCTGGCCTCGATGGCTTCCTGTAGCTGTCTATCTTCTTCTTGCTATTTTGAACAAATCAAATAAAGATAATAGTCTCAGTCACAACCAGACGCACTAAACCTAAACCAATGCTACAAATACTATGTACAGAATAACAAATGACAGATGTCGTATATTTTCATACAGTACCAGTGTTTCATACTGGTGATGTGTCATGATAATGCACATATGAAGTGTGGCGATAACCACCAAGCAAACCTAAACAATGAACCCACTACAGACAAGGAGAATATAAAGATGAGAATGTGCACGTAGAGAGTATAATGCGCAGACATGCGAAGCTGTATACGTTTATACATAGTATAGACATATAGATATATATATGTGTGTGTGTGTATATATATATATATATACGTATATATATATATATATATATACATATATATATTATACACTTGTATACGTATGTACCTCCATCTCTATTTTCTTATCTCTCGCAATCTCATTAGCACAGTCACACCATCAACCACTCACAGCTCACAACTCACCGTGGTGCCGCGTCTCCGTTGTTGGCCTCCACTGCTGGTGCGCTGGGACTGTCCATCTGTGTGACCACCGTATCCTGCACCATAGCCACCACTGCCACCCACTACAAATGTGGTCAAGACAGAGGAGAAGGAATGATAAATGATTATTTAGCGGGATTGGTATGCAAGTATACATGTTCGTTGAGAATTTCATAAATATATATATATATATAGACACGCATGTAGGGATACTCAACACAACCCAATAAACACATCTATCAACTCAGGATCTAAGGTCCACATACTTGGTTGGCGAGGAGGCGGTGCACCCAACCCGTCGTCATAGTGCGAGTCTTGGCCACCAATACTCCCACGCATGCGTTCACGAGCACTCTTGGCCTTCTCGCGTGCTTCTTTGAGTTTGGTATCATCTTTGAGCAGCACAACAAGAGCCTTGGACTTCTCTCGCACATTCTGGCCTGTGAATGGGAGTTAATGGTATGATGTAGTTGTCGGTGTGTGAGCGTATGGGTGGCTGGTTCTGAGAGATTGTCCAGAAAAGGGTTTGAGGTTTGGATGAGGACATATCTATCTGCCTCATTCGTTGAAGATTGGTATTGCTTTTATTGGAGAATAGAAATTATGACTGGTGTCACACACGTCAAATACCAAATGGTGTCTATGAGTACGAAAAACTTCATAATATACATATATATATATATATATGTGTGTGTATGTATGTATGTACGACTATATATATATATATATATATGAGTGTGCGAGTGTACGAATATATATATATATATATGTACGAATATATAAATATATATATATAAGAAATCACACAAAGATGAATTGAATATACAAAATAGCTACCCTGAAGATGTGTATATACATATACATAGATATGCCAGTAGAAACTATAGCAAATAAGCTCCTACTATTGCAGAATCTATTCCTGTGCACACTCAACCGCAGACTGGCTGGGCACATACCCTGATCTCTGCCATCCTTATCGATCATCTGGAAATCCTTGAGGGTCTGGATAGCAAATATATTCTCACGTGACGATTTAACCACCTTCTCTGAGCCAACCTTGATGATGTAGTCCAACAGGATCAGTCCCTTGTACACGTGCCGCCAATACTTCCCAGGCTCGTTCAGGCGCTTCCATAGCATCCCCATGATTTGAGGGAAACACACACTGAGCACACGAAGGCGCCAAGTGAAATAAAGGATTAGTGAAATGAGATGGAAGATAAATCCATATATATCGTGAGCTATGATGCCATATAGGTAGTATCCTGTTGTTTGTACCGCTACAGGCGTAGTCGGGCATACCCGCACTGACAGGACTACGCTGGTAGAAGTGAGACAGTGTTTGTTTTCTTTTCTGCCAAACGGTTTGTTTGTATACAGCGTTGCGTCGTAAACAGAAGTAGCTATAAATGGCTCACAGACAGAATATCGTCCTGAGTGCTATACATGGGCCGTTCAGGCATGCATACGCAACTGTAATCAAAGTATCGAACTATGATTCCATCAATCCCATACAGGG